GCTGTTAGATTTTCATAGACATTTTTATCAAATGGTAAATATTCTATTTCTGGTTTGCTGAAAGTTTTTCATCAAGAATGTTCAATTTTGTCTTTTTTTGGTTATCTGTCATTTCTCTTTTATTTTAATGTGTGAATTATATTGCTGGGATAAGCCCAACTTGGTCATGCTATATATTATTTTTTCCCATTAAGGTCTATGTCCTACTATTTTAGTATTTTTGCACCTGTATTCATGAGGAATATTAGTCTTCTTCTTTCCTCATAATATATTTGTCAAATTTTGTTACTGGGGTTATGCTAGTCTCATAAAACAAGTTAGAAGGTTCTCTTCATTTCTTGAAAGAGTTTATGTGGAATTTAGTGTTATTTCTAATTAAAATACTCAATAAAATTCATCAGTGAATTAATCAGGACATGGATGTTTTCTTATTGGAAAAATATGTAATTATAAATTCAATATTTCAATTAATATGGAATTACTTTTAGAGTTTTTCTTCTTGCATCATTTTTGACAAATTATGTTTTTGAATGGGCCCATAATTAGCAAAGAAATTGAATCAGTTATCAAAAATCTTGCAACAAATAAGAATCCTGGGCCAGATGGCTTTCCAAGAGAATTCTACCAGACTTTTAAAAATTTTTTTTAATGTTTTAATTATTTCTGAGAGAGAGAGAGAGAAAGAGAGAGAGCAAGAGCAGGGGAGAGTCAGAGAGAGAGAGGGAGACACAGAATCTGAAACAGGCTCCAGGCTCTGAGCTGGCTGTCAGCACAGAGCCCGACACGGGGCTCAAACCCACAAACCAACCATGAAATCATGACCTGAGCCAAAGTCAGACACTTAACCAACTAAGCCACACAGGCGTCCCTCTACCAGACTTTTAAAGCAGAATGTCTATTCTTCTCAAACTGTTCCAAAAAACAGAAATGGAAGGAAAGCTTTCAAACTCATTTTATCGAGCCAGCATCATCTTGATTTCAAAACCAATGACCCTACTAAAAAGGAGAACTACAGGCCTAAAAACCTGGATGTAAAATTCTCTACAAGATACTAGCAAATTGATTTCAACATAACATTAAAAGAATTATTCACCACTATCAAGTGGGATTTATTTCTGGGCTGCAGGGCTGGTTCGATATTTGCAATTCAATCAACGTGATACACCACATTAACAAAAGACATCTGACAAAATACAGCATCCTTTCTAGATAAAACCCCTCAAGAAAGTAGGGATAAAACGAACATACCTTAACATCATAAAATCCATAAATGAAAGGCCCACAGCTAATATCATACTAAATGGGGATAAATTGAGAGCTTTCCCCCTAAGATCAGGAACATGACAGGGATGTCCGCTCTCACCACTATTTTTCAACATAATACTGGAAGTCCTAGCCTCAGCAACCAAACAAAAAGAAATAAAAGGCATACAAATTGGAAAAGAAGAAGTCAAACTTCCACTCATTGCAGATGACATAATACTCTATATGGAAAACCCAAAAGATGCCACCAAAAAAAACCTTGAACTGATACACGAATTCAGCAGAGTTGCAGGATATAAAATCAATGTACAGAAATCAGTTGCATTTCTATAAACCAATAACGAAGCAGCAGAAAGAGATACCACGGAATCAATTCCATTTACAATTGCACCAAAAACCATAAGATACATAGGAATAAACCTAACCAAAAGATCTATATGCTGAAAACTATAGAAAGCTTATGAAAGAAATTGAAAAAAATGCACTTACAAAAAGAAAAAGGAAAAACATTCCATGCTCATGGATTACAAGAACAAATATTGTGAAAATGTCAATACTACCCAAAGCAATATACACATTCGGTGCAATCCCTATCAAAACAACACCAGCAGTCTTCACAGAGCTAGAACAAACAATCCTAAAACATAAATGGAACCACAAAAGCCTCTGAATAGCCAAAGTAATGTTGAAAAAGAAAACCAAAACTGGAGGCATCACAGTTCTGGACTTCAGCTGTATTACAAAGCTGTAATCATTAATACAGTATGGTATTGGCACAAAAACAGGCACATAGATCAATGGAATAGAATAAAAAACCCAGAAATGGACCCACAAATATACAGCCAATTAATCTTTGACAAAGCGGAAAAGAGTATCCAATGGAAAAAAGACAATCTCTTTAATAAATGGTGCTGGGAGAACTGGGCAGCGGCATTCAGAAGAATGAAACTAGGTCACTTTCTTACATCATACCAAAAATTAACTCAAAACAATAACAGACCTAAATGTGAGACAGGAAGCCACAAAAATCATAGAGGAGAAAACAGGCAACAATTTCTTTGACCTAAGCTGTAGCAACTTCTTACCTGACATGTCTCCAGAGGCAAGGGAAATAGAAACAAAAATGAAATATTGGAACCTTATCAAGATAAAAGCTTCTGCACAGCAAAGGAAACAATCAGCAAAACTAAAAGGAAACTGGCAGAATAGAAGAAAATATTCACAAATGACATACTGGATAAAGTGGTTAGTACGCAAAATCTATAAAGAACTTACCAAACTTAACACCCCAAACACAAATAATCCAGTGAAGAAATTGGCAGAAGACACGAATAGACACTTTTCCAAAGAAGACATCCAGATGGCAAACCAACACATGAAAAGATGCTCAACATCTCTCATCATCAGGGAAACAGAAATCAAAACCACAACGAAATACCACCTCACACCTTTCAGAATGGCTAAAATTATCAACTCAGGAAACAACAGATGCTGGTGAGGAAGCAGAGAAAGGGGAACACTTTTGCACTGCTGGTGAGAGTGCAAACTGGTGCAGCCACTTTGGAAAACAGTATGGAGATTCCTCAAAAAGTTAAAAATAGAACTATCTTATGACCCAGCAATGGCACTACTAGGAATTTATCCAAAGGATATAAAAATGATGATTTGAAGGGGCACAGAGCAACACTGTCAACAACAGCCAAATTATGGAAAGAGCCCAAATGTCCATTGACTGATGAATGGATAAGGAGATGTATACAATGGAATACTACTCAACAATAGAGAAGAATGAAATCTTGCCATTTGGAACAACATGGATTGAACTAGAGGGTATTAAGCTAAATGAAATAAGTTGGTCAGAGAAACACAGATATCATTAAGACTTCACTCATATGTGGAATTTGAGAAACTCAACAGATGAAGATAGATGAAAGGAAATAAAAATCATATAAAAACAGAGAGGAAGGCCAACCATAAGAGACTCTTAAATACAGAGAATAAACAGAGTTGCTGGAGTGGGGTGGGTAGGAGGATGGGTTAAATGGGTGACAAGCATGAAGAAGGGCACTTTGTGGGATGAGCCCTGGGTGTCAAATGCAAGGCACTGGATTCTACTACTGAAGCCGAGACTATACTGTATGCTAAGTAACTTGAATTTAAATAAAAAATAAAAATAAACAACAATAAAAAAAACAACAAATAAATGGCATGTCCAGTTCATCTTAGTTGTTGAATTTATTGGTATAAAGCTGTCCATTACATGCTTTTATTGTCTTTAATGTCAACAAGTTCTGTAGTGATGTCTCTTTTCATTCTTGATATTACTAATCTGTTTTCTCCTTTACTTGATCAGTTTTTTGTTTCCTAAGCTATTATAACAAATTACCATAAACTGAGTGGCTTGAAAACAACAGAAATGTATGGTCACATTTCTAAAGGACAGAAATCAAAAATCAAGGATCCTTTTAAAGGCTGTGGGAGACGATTGTTCCTCACCTCTTACTAGTTTCTGATGGCTAGTAATTTTTGGCTTGACGATGCATTACTTCAATCCCTGCCTTGTCTTCACTTGGTCTTCTGTTTCTGTGTATCTCTATGGTCTTCTTATAAGGACACTACATCACTGGATTTAATATGATATAGTATGCTCTCACAACTAATTATGTCTGCAATAACCCTACTTCCAAATAAGGTCACATTCTAAAGTTCTGGATGAACATGGCTTTTAAGGGAATACTATTCAAGCCAGTATATTAATCTTGCTAGGTATTTATCAATTGTAATCATTTCCAAAGTCTTACTTTTTGTTGATTCTCTGTGTTAATTTCCATCAGTTGTGGATATGTTCTGTCAATATCTCTTCAAACTTCTTCTGTGTCATTCTTTGTCTACACCTTGTGAAACTCAGTTACAAGATGCAAGGCCATTTGATTTTGCCTTCAAACCTCAAATACTCTATACTTCATATTTTCATTCCCCTTTTTGCTTTTTCAATTTTTTATTTTCAACTGTCCCATCTTCTATCAAATCATTTCCTCTGTATGTAGTCACATCATGTTCAATTATAGAATTTTCTTGTTTCCTATAGTTTACATGTATTTGTGGAAATTCCCCCATCTTTTCATACATGTTTTCCACCCTTTTTGCTACCTTCTTCAGCATATTGATCATAGCTAATCTACTTCTGATAACTGTAATATCTGGGCAATCTCTGTTTGCTTCTACTGACTGTTGGCACTCTGAATCAAATTTTTCTGCTCCTTTGCAGATCTTATAATTTCTTGCTGGCTGCTGGGTATTTTCTATAAAAGAACAGTAGGTATGCAAATAAATAGCAGTTACCTCCACAAAAGGGCATGCCTGTTCCTTGTCAGGCTCTTAGACTGGGAAGCTGAGTCAATCTAATCTGCAGTTGATGGGAAGATGAATTTTGCTGCTGAATTTTGTAGTTTAACTTTACCACTTGCTTCAAATATTTTAAATGAAGAGGAATTCCTTTCAGCAGGGATTGGGATCTGAGCATTGGTAAGATCTTGGAGTAGAACCTTTGTGCTTTTCAGCTAAACTGCCAGCTTTCCAAACATGGGGAGTTTCTCTCTGCACTACATTCCAATGGCATAATTTAGAATTCCTCAGATCTTCTCTTTGTATTCTACTCAGGCTTCATGAGAAGGTGAACTCTCTCTCAAATTAAAATGCCTTTTGGAGGATAGTTGCTTACAATCACAATGCCTCAGAAAGATCTTTCCTGTTTTATTTCTGTTGTATATTCTTATCTTCCTAGTAAATGAGTACATTCTTTCTAAAACTAGCAATCTGGCTGATTGAAAAGAAGCAAGACATAAATCATGGATTTATGAAGATAAGCCAATGTTTACAGAACTGCATTTCACAGCAAGTCTATACAGGAAAAGGCAAAAGAGATAAGAAAAGTTCTTTCTCTTTCATAAATCCACTGAGCACTTACAATATATGCTGTTATTCCAGCAAAATCTAATCTCAGTAACTGGGATGGATAAAAATGGGATTTGTAAATTACAGATCTTGTTTGATTTTCTAAAATATAAATTAGAAGTGGGCTAGTTCAGGTTTCTTTTACCATGTGATTCTGCCAATTCTTAAAATCTTATCATTAATATCAAATGAATATAAGAAGAAAAAAAGGGTAAGGGCATTCCCATTTTTCAGAATCTTAATATGAAAACAACAAATACTTCCATTTCATTTACATTTCACTGGCTAATATTCAGTCTCATGCAATTCTTAATTGAAAGGGGGGCTTGGAAATGCAGTTTTGCTGTGTATCCAGAACAAAAAAGAAATAGATACATTCAGTTCATAGAATCTGTTAATTTTGTCAGCTTAAAACTTCTATCTTGCACACTAAATGTTCAATACATAATGTTGAGAGAACTGAGGAGGAATGCCTTATCTGTTTATATAAGCTACTGTACTGACACTGGAGGCAAGTCATATTTTAAGGGACGGTGTGGTTCTCTTCCATTATTTCTGCATAAGTGAGGGATAAACACACATTCAAAAATCTATTTGTAATCCCCTTTTGAACTTATTAACATTTCCAGCCTCTGTCATGTTTAAGGGTAAAGGGTAAATAATGGGATTAAAATACTATTGAAGTAACATTTTGTTTTACAGTAATTTCTTTAATGCGTTAGTGCATATTTCTAAGTCTAATATTCGGGTACAGACCCATAAGTCCAAGTTCTTCCCTTTGTCATCCTCCCCAAATGTAATTTATAAACTTTGATTCTATCAATTCCCCTCTCACCATATGTGGTCCTTCACAACTTGAATTTCAGCTTCCTTGATGTACAGGAGTCAGGACCAACCACTGGCTCTCAGGTGGGTTGCACATGATTTTCAGAGGCATGAAAGAAATTGTTCATGGTTTGTATCCAATTTTTTTTTCTAATGATGCCAGATTTCAATGAATCAATATTTATTGAAATATCTCCCATGGTCACTACTGCATGATATACGTAAATAGTATTTTATTCCATCAGGAGTATTATTTACACAGTCCTATATCTAGAAAGTTATTCCTAATTGACATTTCTAATTACACCAGATAACCATTTTCCTTTAAAGGGTTCCCTCTTATACGTTAAACTTGTTGTCACTTGTTAAACTTTTATTTTGGCCACAGAACCATTTCTTCTAAAATGATAAACCCTGTTAATCTTCAAAAATTCCGTTGAGAACCAGTCACTGGACACCACCTTCTGGATGATCATTTTCTTCTTTTGAATTTTATCTGGCATCTGTAAACCATTCTTTATCTGCACAGATACGGATCCAAGTAGAAGCTATCCAATCACTTACATGTCAGAGAGAGAGAAAGTTGTTTTGGTGGATGCATGTATCATAACTATTTGTACCTAGCTTCCCCCCCCACCCTTCTTTCGACTGATTTTGTCCTTCCTACAAAGATCACACCCTGTTTAAAAGGGTTAATATTTTTTCATTCAAGACTACTTTTACAAATACTTATAATTTCTATATAAATGAAAATCTAAGAAGCTCTTGGCTGTAGTTTGTGGTAACTTATATTAATCATATCTGCTATTATTCACAAATTTCTTAGTCTTATGTATGAACACTAGCCCTTGTTTTATGTAAATCACGTTTGAAGTAAATTTACCTATAGCTACTTCTCCAATGCATTAAATGATTAAAATCTCATTTCAGAGACTAAGGTAAATGAACCTATTCCAAGGATGTGTGTGACAGACCAGTTGGCATAGTATTTGGTCTTGTGGCAGGAATTAAATCAATACCTACAGAATCACATGTGCAAAACCTAAGCAATGAAAGTGCTTACATGAATGAATTCAGATCTGCTCCCCTTAATAAGTGGATTCCAGCAGGAAAAAAAACTTTATAAAGACTGTAAGAAATGTATTGATATGGTATAACAATTACTTCAAAACCCAATTCTAAAGGAGCTGCTGAGCAATGCTGAGTATCCAGGGTCCTGGAAAATGTCTCCTATAAAACAAAACGTGCTTTACAGTGATTTAGAAAATACAAAATGCTGGATTTTGTAGACTGCTTGGTGTACTTCTGGTTGTTTCTCTTAAGTAGAAAAAAATCTACAGTGTTGTAGTCCTTTGGTTTTTATTTTCTGAGATTAAAAAAAGTATAGGCATAAATGTTTTCCCATGCTCTTCTTGATGATATCCTTTAAAATAACTTATCAAATGGCTTTATTTATGTCTCTTGATTATCAGTGTTCATCAATATCACTGTCAGCCTTGATTAACTGGTTAAAAATTTCAGAGCAGAGTAAGTAACTTTCATGAACATTTTCCCCACTCCCTGAGAATCATAATCGTCACAGAAATGTTTTATCCCTTCATCATAAATCTCTGGAAAGTAGCCGTGTTCGTTCATTGTTAACAGGGCAAGGAGCAGTGTCATAGAGGGTTAATCCATGTAAATTGGCTTCCACTCGTAAAGAAATTTTCTGTAACAGAAAAGAAAATTACATATAGATGTTTGCTCCTTAAAGACATCTTCAACGGCTTCGACATCACATCTTCAATATGTTCTGAAGAATATTTATGGGGTTGGGGATGTAAATCAATTCTAAGGAGTAACAAGAACGAGACAGAAGCTGTACTGCCCAAGGTATCATCTGTAGTACCAACAGAGTAGGGAAAACCAAGCTTCTCTACTCAGAAGTTCTTCATTTTTCCTTGGTTTCTAAAAGGAATCAGTAAATGTAGGCAGAGTTGATGAAAATTCTGTGGAAAAGTTTCTGCAAATTTGTTTTACAGCCCTCTTTTCAAGTTTGAATACTTTAGCAACAACACACTCCTTCTCCAAACACAGAAACAACCGCCCTGAGAAGCCCCTCTTCTGGCAGTGCTGCTTACAAAGTTAATTTTCAAAAAGGCTGGAGATTTGCCTATAGAAACTTCTCTTATTTCACCTGAAGGCAGTATGACTGCATGAATCTGATGCTGGGTTTTCTTACCTGAAAATCACGGATATAAGTCAGGAAAAAGCCAAAGAAGGAGAATGACATAGACCATTCTGCTGCAGTGGTGATCATGTGAAGCACATAGCCCTTGGATGACAATGGAAAAAAATAACAGTTCTGTGAAATGTCAAATAATCTATAATTTCTCTCACATAAAAACCCCATAAAATGTATAATCCAATTGGTCTTATGAAAATCAAAGGACAATCAGGTAAATACTATGGATATTTTAAACACACTATAGCCTCTTGTTAAAAATGTATTCATTTGAGTTTAACTGTAACAAACATGCTATACTAATTAAAGATGTTACTAAAAGGGGTAGGTATAGAATATATTGATAACACAGAACCCTCCATACTATTTTCACAATTTTTCTGTAAATATAAACTATCTAAATTCAGGTTTGTTTAAAAACTTAATTCTATTTATATTTTATAAATAATTCCATATCTGAACTTTCTGTGGAAAAAAAAACAATCCTTAATTTACTGAACATAGCTCAAGAATTAAAGGCAGACATTAGGAAAATTCCTCCTAAATGATTTAGCTATTGTAAATTTCATCCAGAGCAAATAAAATTTCCATATGAGAATTAAGACAGGAGAACTTATACTCTATGATCAGGAAGTTACTGCCTTTCCCTCAAACATAAGATTCATTAAATGCCACTAAAAATGTTTAGGTAAAAACTGCTCATGGTAAAACTGGTGTTATTTTTAGAGCATTAAATAATATATGGATTATAACTAGGAGAATCCAGGGGTGCCTAGATGGCTCAACTGGTTGAGCATCCAGCTCTTGATTTTCAGTCAGGTCATGATCCTAGCACTGAGCACAGAACCTGCTGGAGATTCTCCTTCTCTCTCCCTCTGCCCCTCTCCCCTGCTCATGTATCTCTCTTTAAAATAAAAAAATAAATATATAATAAAAAATAATAATAACTGAGAGTGGGACATCTGGGTGGCTCAATCGGTTAAGTGTCCAGCTTCAGCTCAGGTCACGATCTCATGGTCTGTGAGTTCGAACCCCACATCAGGCTCTGCACTGGCAGCTCGGAGCCTGGAGCCTGCTTCGGATTCTGTGTCTCTGTCTCTCTCTTCCCCTCCCCTGATCATGCTCTGTCTCTCTCTCTCTCTCAAAAGTAAATAAACGTTAAAAAATATTTTAAAAAATAACTAAGAGAATCTAATAAATCATTTCATTCTTTCATTCTTACAAACATGTCCTATCCAGGGCTAATTCTTTAAAAATGATTTAAAATGAAATGCCACTGAGAGGTTTATGAAAACAGATGAACTTTATTTTATCATCTATTTAGTATATGTCCCTCCACTTTTCTTCTCAAGATCAAAGATGCTATCTCCATTCAGATATCCAGCATATTGGAACCCAAATCCAGAGTCCGTAATAATAAACTTTTAGATAATGATTCAGGAAACAAGAATTCTAATAATAAAAGATTTCAGTTGGGTATGCTGTACACTACATCCATATTTAGGAGGAACAATTTCTGAGAAAACTCTTTGCCATCATGATTCTCATCACGTTTTGAAAATGTTCAGTGATCAGATGTGACAGAACAACACGGTGGTTCTATACAAGCTCAATCATACAGAGAAAACAATCCTAATTTAACATAATTGATTATTCTGCTGAGAAAGTTTCATTTTTGGTGATAACACAAAAGAGTACATCAAAACCCACTAAAATAGTCATCTTTAATATAAAACTAAGTTTTATAGATTCCAAGCTCTTACTTTGTCCTCGGGGTTCCAATGGAGCTTCTGGTCTACATCCTTGCCGAAACTGCCACTGTGCAAAAATGATGAGGAAGTCAGCACTGTAAAAAAAAGTCAGTCAAGGAGAATCTTGGACAAGACCTGTACATTTAAATTAGATTCAAAATAAAAATCACTTTAAAGGTCCAAAAGGATTACTCATACATTTGTTTCCAAGGTCCAAACCCATTTTCTTAAAGACTACATGTCACAAAGCAGTAGTGAAAATTGAAATGTGCCTGGAGGATTACTATGAAATGGTCTGCATAGTCAGTCCCTCTTTGCTCCATGAGTCAGTACTATCCTACGTAATTGTTCGCAGGGATACAGACGCATCCTTCACATCTCTGAAGTGAACATGAGCTTTGTTCTGAGCTCAATTACTGGGGTCCTTTGTAAAATTTGAATTTCACGTTTCAAGTCTTTTAATTTATTAGCCCAAGAATCTCACCCACAAAAGACCTGCTTACAATATGCCAACAATGTTCATTTAAATTCTGTTATTCAATTCCCTTCCAAGTGGAGCCACATTTTACAGCAAAGGATACTGGTAAACGCACTTACTCCACACCAGATAACCAGCAATAGTCTAATCCAGAAGACTTGTTTGCCATGAATTTTGGGCTGCATTTGGTAGGAAAGGATGGTCTGAACCAACATATATAATGAGCCCATACCAAAGGTGAGCACAGCTCCACATATGTGTACAGCAAAAAACTCTGTTTTCTAAGAGGTAGAAAGAATAAGTAAATAAGATAAATTCAAAACACATTGCCAACACAGTATTTAAAAGCATAAGCCAGTGATTTCAATAGAACATCCACTGAGTGGAAAAGTACTATGAAGTCTACAAAATTACTTCTTGAAGTAATTGTTTCTCAGAGTACTCAGCATAAGACAGGGGATTATGGTAAACCAAATTATTCATATGCCACTACTGAAAATATGACAGTAATTGTTCATTTACTCATTGAATAACATGTTTATTTGGGTGCCTCTTGTGTGTCAAGCACTGTTTTAAGTATTCAGATATATTAGTGAACACAACAGGAAAGCATCTGGCCCTCAGAGTTTATATTCAAGTGAAGAAGCAAAAACAATAAATGATAAAGTTTAGAAGTAAAATCCAGAGCATGTTAGATGGTGATAAGGGTTATAGAAAAAGGATAGTGCACAGCAGAAGAACATTAGCAGGGTTGGGAAGCTGGAGGGAAGGAGATGCAGCTTAAACCCAATTTAACTCCAAAAGCAATTTAAAGGCTCAAAAAATTTAAAGCTCCCTCCCCTCCCCCCGCACCCCCCTCCCCGCCACCATGGCTCTGGTTGATTGGTTTTGATAAAGTATATAAGGGATTATCATAAATTCTAATTTTCCCCCTGTACTTCACTCTTACCAGTGTCCATTTACATTTTACTTTTTACTACATATACCCTCTGATTAAAAGTGACAACAGTGGCTCTCCACAAATGCTACAAACGTCTTCAGTTGAACTCTCTTGGTTTTGAAGCTGGCACTGTCTGTATTTCACGTGGTTGGGAAGGCACTGCATAGAATCTGGCATGGAGGGCATCACCAAGTGGCGGGAGGGGCTAGGTAGGGCTATCTTGGGCCCCTCCTTTCAGTTGACTGTGCTAATTCACAAAAACAGGGAGCCCAGCTTTCTTAGTTGAAGCTACAGGAAGTTCCCAGTATAAAGAAATAAAGGAGGGGCGCCTGGGTGGCTCAGTTGGTTAAGGGTCCGATTTCGGTTCAGGTAATGACCTCACTAGTTGGTGAGTTCAAGCCTCGTGTTGGGCTCTGTGCTGACAGCTTGGAGCCTGGAGCCTGTTTCAGATTCTGTGTCTCCCTCTCTCTCTCTCTGCTCCTTCCCAGCTCGTGCTCTATGTCTCTCAAAAATGAATAAATGTTAAAAAATTTTTTTTAAAAAAGAAGTAAAAGATAACAATGTTTTTGCCAAAGCCATTGGTTTTCTTTTGGAGAGAAAGGGCTACTTTGATTCAGTTTGTGGTGTTATATATAACTGGCAATAAGTTATCTATAAGGAATTCATCAAACTCCACATCCGAAAAACAAATAATCCAGTAAAGAAATGGGCAGAAGACATGAATAGACACTTCTCCAAAGAAGACATCCCGATGGCCAACAGACACATGAAACTATGCTCAACATCCCTCCTCATCACGGAAATACAAATCAAAACCATACTGAGATACCACCTAACGCCAGTCAGAGTGGCTAAAATGAACAAATCAGGAGACTATAGATGCTGGTGAGGATGTGGAGAAACGAGCACCCTCTCACACTGTTGGTGGGAATACAAACTGGCGCAGTCGCTCTGGAAAACAGTGTGGAGTTTCCTCAAAAAATTAAAAATAGAATTACCCTACAACCCAGCAATAACACTACTAAGAATTTATCTAACGGATACAGGAGTGCTGATTTGTAGGGGCACATGTACCCCACTGTTTATAGCAGCGCTATCAACCATAGCCAAATCATGGAAAGAGCCTAAATGTCCATCAACTGACGAATGGATAAAGAAGATGTGGTTTATATATACAATTGGCAATGAGAAAGAATGAAATCTGGCCATTTGCAGCAACATGGATGGAGCTGGAGGGTATTATGCTGAGCGAAGTAAGTCAATCAGAGAAAGACAGATACCGTATGTTTTCACTCATATATGAATCCTGAGAAACTTAGAAGACCATGGGGGAGGGGAAGGAGGAAAAAAAAGTTACAGAGAAGGGAGGCAAACCATAAGAGACTCTTATATACTGAGAACAAACTGAGGATTGATGGGGGGTGGGGAAGACGGGAAAATGGATGATGGGCATGGAGGAGGTCACTTGTTTGGATGAGCACTGGGTGTTGTATGGAAACTAATCTGACAATAAATTATATTTAAAAAAATAACTGGCAATGAGTTATGAGTACTAGGAGGGGAAAAAAGCGTTGTAATTACCACTTTGGGTAACAAAGAAAAAATTCAGCACCTGTAAAACAATAGAAAAAATAATAAAACAAAAATAAAACAAAATGGTATTATCTTCTTATCTTCATATGGGAATGTACCTATAGATATGGATAAAGTCTGGAAAAATACAGACAAAAATGAAATTAACTATTTTAGGGCTATGAGCAGGAATACGGAAACTGATCAGGGAAGACAGGAACCCTACTTGTGGCAAAGACAGGTAGGTAGCTGTCCACCAAAGCTTATGTGTCGCGTTCATGGTTTAGAGTGGCCCCGGGAACTGATGCTCAACAAGACCTCATTTCCTAGCCCCCCTGTGTCTAGCAAATAAACGTTACTAGAATGATGTGATTCATTCTAGTTAAGGTTAAAGCTGTAAAGAAGCAGGTGTGGTTTTTCCATGTTCTCTTTGACTGTTTCAGCCAGCTGGCTGCAGAAGACATTAAGGACTTAGGGAAGAGCAGAGCTCAAAGATGGATAATGACGTCAAGGCCTTAAATTACTGTGGGAAGAAAGTGATCTATCAACCAAACGTAACTACACTAGATGCATGAATATGTCTCTATTAGTGTATTTGTATGGTGAGTGTGTATAAATAGGGCACCAAATGTCTAAACTGAAACTTTATAAAGACTGTAGAGAAACTAATCAAAAGACACCATGCGCCCAGGAGGTGGCTGAAAGAATGTCAACAGAAAGGAATGTGAAGAGTTGGTAAATGTTTATGAAGGTTGCTACCACTTTAAGAATTCCCTGAGAAAAAGCTGGAAGAGCTCCATATCCTACCTGTACTTACTCATATAAGGGGCTGAGCACCTAGAAAGAGAGGTTGATCAATGGGAACATCTAAACAAGAATATAAATATAAAATAGATGTTAGGCATATTTTTTTTAAGTCTATAATTTTGTCGCTTATAATTTATATCAATTCCCTCTGGTCTTGGATTAATCACCAACTAAGTAATAAGAAAGAGTCTAATAAATAAAGAGTTCTGTGAATCCTTAAAAGGTCGGAATAATTTATAGGTGTTCAGCAGCTGAGAATGAATTTATCTCATTGTATATGTAGTGATCTCTAAGAAGGTCAAATAACGTAAAGGCAAGGGATTCTACTTTGTTAAGGCAAAGAAACAATAACAGATCGTAACTGAATGTTTCAGGTTTCCTTTTTAAGATGTATTAATTTAGGTACTTCAGGAAAATACCTATGCTGGGGTAAAGCACAAACCTGGAAGTTTGCCACAACAGAAAGTCCAAAACAACTCAGTAATCCAAGTGCAAGGCCAGCCTTGTTTATTCTGATGATACGATTCTCTTCAGGATTCAGAGCATGGACTTGCTTGTAACGAACATAAATTGTAGCAATGCCTGGGAAGAGATAATACGAAAGCCAACAAAGTAATAAATAACCAGGAAATAAAGTTGCCAATAGTTAACAAAGGTCATATAGCATAGATTTTCCTTTTACAGTTTATCCGAGAGAAGAGAAAAAACAAAAAGCAGAAACAGCTGTCGATTTTAAATAGCTTTTAAGGTTGCATTACAGAACTAGTAATATCTCTGTGTGACTCAAAGGCACTAGCCTCCTGTGGGCCTCACATTTACAGACATTTAGGGTAAAATTTGAGAGAGAAGTTTGATGTCTTCTGAAAATCTCTAATAATAAGTATTAAAAAACACAAAACACCCTATATGACCAGCATTAAAGTCTAAAGTAATTAGTGCTAAAATATGTATAAAATGGGTCCAGGCAAACAAAACAAAACACCAAAGGATGATTTGCTTCACTCTCATCTCATTTTATTTCAAATTATTACAATTTGGCTCAATGAAATATAGCAGTCAACATACAGAAAAAAAAAAAAACCCTAGAACAACCCACTTTACTATCCTTGTTAGTCAAGGAGTCAAATCAAATCAAATTTTCCATCACAGAAATACTGTCAAAGAACTTGGAAGTGTAGAAAATGAAACAGAGATGCTTTTGTAGACATGTTTTTTGAAAACTTTAGTCATAAGAAGAATTTCTATACACTGAATCATTTCCTTGACTTCAATTTTTGACCCAAGCAAGTGATAAATATCATATGGAAGAATGCAAATATTTAAAACAATCACAACTGAGAGAAAAAATATTTTAGTAAGTCATTAATAAAGCCTGGTTCAAAAAAATAAACAAACAGGAATGTCAAATACAGTTGAACTCCATTCTTCTGGCGATAGAACATAGTTCAAAAAATCAAAACATGGTCCCTCTGCTGCTCTCAAACGTCTAAACTGTTTAGCCTAAATGAATTTCGTTAGTGTTAGTTGTGAGTTTTCTGTCCTCTACTGGTTGCTTAAGAAATCCACTTATGGCCTCAAGAAATATTTGATTATATTTGGATAAGCAGTCAAATAGCCTCACAGACATTTTTTATGATATCTATTTTCTTTTTAAAAGGAACATATCTGTGATCAATAATTTAGTGATAATAGTCCCTCAAGTAAACAGAAAGTAAAACAAGTAACAGAATAGTGGTTTTTTTTAAAATTTATTTATTTCTGAGAGAGAGAGAGAGAGAGAGAGAGACAGCATGAGCAGGGGAGGGTCAGAGAGAGAGGGAGACACAATCTGAAACGGGCTCCAGGCACTGAGCTAGCTGTCGGCACAGAGCCTGATGTGGGGCTCGAACCCACGAACTGTGAGATGATGACCTGAGCCAAAGTCGGACGCTTAACCGACTGAGCCACCCAGGTGCCCCAGAATAGTGTTTAAAGAAGGAAACGAATTTAGCTATTAATTTCAAATTTTAAAATAATTCCCATTACTTACATAAAACTGCAGCGATATTTAACATTGCCCCAAACAAGCATTTTTCTGGAGGTAGGGTACCGGTGTCACTGAAAGAAAAGAAGGTATGTAGATTTCTCACACTAGATATACATGTGCAGTTTTTCTAAAGAATAAAAAATAACAGGGGTTACTTCAAATCCTATATCTTTTTATATGTTTGTAAGTTCGGCTCTTATATAATAATTTTATGAGGACATGACAGTTTGAGCTCACAGTATCCTATCTGGTTCACTTTTTTCTCATATCGCTTCAGCTTTATTCCTTTTTCATACAACAGAGATCAATAGAAAATGATTTAAAAAACAAAAACAAAAACAGAAACAAAACAAAACATGCTGGGTGTACTGGGGCTGTGTTCCTGACTGGCATCCTGGGCAAGTGTGTTCATCTGTGTCACCTCAATGTTCATTCTCTAAAACACTGCAGATCTTTTCATGACTCTGTCTTGGCATCTGTTGTTGATGTTGTCTATAATTCAATTAATACCTAATCATTTCCTGTTAATTAAAAAAACATTTACCAAGCATCTCCTAAGTGCCAGACAGTATTTTAGGGATAGGAATACAGTGGTTAGTAAAAGAGACAAAGCCCTTGGCTTCCTGGAGCTTCCACGCGAGACCAGCTTTGGTTCCCTTCCTCTCCACAGCCTTAGCCAACTCCTCTAGCAGAATGCAGACCCATGAAGCATTCTGTCCACACTTCTATTACAATCACATAGTACAATGTATTGCAATGTATCAGTTTACATGCCTGTGTTTCAGGGCAGTGAGGAATACAGAGATCCAGATCAACAGTCCATCTGCCATTTACTATGGAACCTTGGGTTTACTCTTCTCACTCCCTCTGACTGTTCCTTGTCTGCAAAATGGGGCTATTAATTCCCTCCCAGCCTCATCAGCCCAACATGAGGAAATGAAACTGTGGTCATACATGTGAAGACCTAGCACAGTAGCAGGTGCAGGGGAAATACATATTAAATGTTAGTTCTTTTCCCTTCCCTCAAACTACAGTAAAGATGAAAAAGACAAAGGCTTTTTCAAAGTCTCTTTCAAAAATAATAACGATCTCAACTAACACAACGTAATGGGATTAAAAAAGAAATGGAAACTCAGGTCTGGTAAGGAATCAATAAGGTTTGGTGAACATTTGGGTTAAGTTCAGGAAAAGTAAAGTATCAAATATAAACTCTAAGTATTGCTCCTTCTGACTCTAAAATGTATCTTCAGAAATAAAAGATTCTGTTCTTCTGATCATCTTCAGGAGGTGGAGATTATGGTTTTGTTGGTTTCTTCTACCTTTCAAACTTTCAAAAATAATGTACATATATCCTTATAATCAGAAAAAAATCCATAATAATCCATAATAGTTGTATTTCAAGTGATGCTACAGTTTTGAACTATCCCATAAGTAAACAAAAGCATGCATTTCCAAGATGATGGGCTAAGTGTGCTCCTTCCTTGGCTCTGCATCAGAATGACATAAACTGGCCCACAAGTGAAAACAGCCAAGTCCATCACCTCAACAGCATTATGCCCCAACCCAGTGGTCATCAAACTGTTTTGATAATATACTAACATAACAACAACAACAAAAATCTGACCATGTAACTTCAAAATGTATTTATTATATAAGTTTAAATATGGAGATTAAAAAAAATACACACAGAAGTTCTAATAATTTCTTCTCGTGCCCCAGTACCAGTCTCGTGCATTCTACCTGAGCGTCTACTACCTGAACCACTAAGAGAACACCTGAAGCATATTTCCAGTGGAATTGTCCTTAGAATGAAATTTACAGTTGGTTATGTCTTTTGGGACTATTAACAATTAAACCTTTCAGATAGGGTCTGTGAACTGAAAGGAAGTTTGCAGAGCATCTAATCGAATTCAATCATTTTTCAGATGAAGGAAATGAGCCTGAGAAGTAAAATTAAGTACTACTGAGTTTAGATCTATTAGAATGTTGGAGAAAGATCCCAGGGTAATAATATTAAGGTCATTAGCAGGAAAATAAAAAGGCAGAATGGCAGGGACGGAAAAGGAAGTGTCTAGGGTACTATCTGTCAGAAAATCACATGCAGAACTGAAACTCAGAAGAACCCAAAGGCCTCTTAACGGATTAAAAGCTCTTTAAAGTGAAAGCAGACAAGTTCTTGAAAGGGAACTAAAAATGCTGACAGATGCTCAGGAATCATAGATATATGCTCCCTAAAGAGTTACTAAAGATTGAATTGGCTCCTTAAGCTACATTCCTCTAGCAGAGTGAGGTGATTATTCATCAGATTATTCCTAGAACTGGAACCTTAAATTCTAAAGTATCTTTGGTTTTTGTACATCTTCCCAAAGTGTACCCAATTTGTTGATATCCTTTGCTCCATATCATGCTAATGTGAGAACAAATGTAGATGGTAACGTTCCAATCTCTTATAGACAGTTTTAAAAGGTAAATTTAGGTAAATGCTTAAAGTGTTACCTTGTACACAGTAAGTCAACTAATAGTTGCCATCACCATTATATTTTAATATTATTACTGTTGTTTGCAGCATTTTTGAATTTTAAGGGGAGAAGAATTCCACATCTGTCTTCTGAGACAACCTCAAAGACTTATTTGGAAAACAAGGCATAATTCACTAACTAATTCATTAAATAAATCTTACTCCATCTCCACATTTTTCTATCACATGGAAAGACCTAAACACAACTTCCTTTTTATGTTCCTTTTGTTGGTGTGATGTCAAACATGAAATTTGAATTTTAAAATGTTAACATTAAATGTTGGCTTTGGGTAGTATAGACATTTTAACAGTATTTGTTCTTCCAATCCATGAGCATGGGATGTTTTTCCATTTTTTGGTGTCCTCTTCAATTTCTTTCATCAGTGTTCTATGAAACAGAGTACAGATCTTTTACCTCTTTGGTTAGGTTTATGGTGCAATTGTAAATGGCTTCAATGTTGAAATGTGAATGATACATAAACAGTCTCCTATAAAAGGATACATTTCACTGACCTGATATAAGGCAAAGCAGGGTCAACATGGTGGAGTGTTATGGCAGTAATGTATGAAAATATGAAAGCAGCAGCTGTCCAAATTACTAGGGCAGAAGGAAGAAAACAGAGCCCTTGCTGAAACCACCACATCTCAAACAGGTCTTCTGAAGTAGAAAAACAACAACAACAACAAATTAGAAAAGATAATCCACAAGTATTTCATCTCTTCTGCTTTAGCTATCCACTCCCACTATCTTGTACTTATCACCATGAGCTGTCCCCCTTCTGAAATCATCCCCCACACCATCTACTAACACCTGCTCGCTTTCAATTTCTCAGTATATGGAACCAAGTTTCACCCACTTGGCATATTCAGAAACATTTCCCCCCCCCCCCCTTTCCACACATACTCAAGTACTAATGTTTATTCAATATCTCAAATTTCCTTCAAGTCTACCCTTTCTCTCTGTCTTTCCTGCCACTACTCTACCCAGAACACCATCATTTCTTGACCACATTATTGTTACAATCTCCTAAATGGTCCTTCTCTAGTGTGGAGACATCAATCTAGACTCCACCCTAAACCCAGAGTGAGCCTTCTAATTCTGAAATACTAATCTGACCATTTAATTCTCCTACAATAATCTTTCAAGGCCTCCCTGTGGCCTTATAGATAAATAAAAGATAATAAAAACTATCTTTCCTCACTAACACCATCTACAAGGTCTTCGTTTTATATGATCTCGACTTACTTTCCCATAATTCATCTCTGGCTACTTCTCTGTTCCCAGCTCCTTGTTCTAGCTATCATCCTCTTCATCATCATTAGAAAAGTAAACACAGTGTCTACTCAGTGTCACCAAGTTACTAAGCACCTTGATTGCATGATCTCATTTACTTCTCACAACAGAATTACAGAGGTTAAGAAAACTGTCCAAGGTCACAGAGCTGGAACTCAGTAGAGCCAGAATTCAAACTCAGGCATTCCATTCTAACACCAATCACTATGCTCTACTGCTATAGCAAACTTCTTTCAGATGTTCAAATGGGTCATGCTCTCTTGTACACTCATAGACCTTCATGTACACCGTTCTGTCTGGATGACACACCACAGTGCTATCATCCCTCCAGCCCACCTGTTAACTTCTATACCTATTCATGTCCCAGACGTTCCAGCTTCGGCTGAGTGTCCCTACTTTATTTCCAACGGTACCCTTTACTTCTCCAACCAGGGCATTTATCTCACTTAACCCAGGCTTGTTCGCTTGGTTTTAGCTTCTGTACTAAACCTTAGATTCTGAGAGAGCAGAAATCAACTGTTTTGTTCACCATTATGTGCATGGTGGGGGGGGGGGGGCGGGGAAGAAAAAGAGCATCTAAATACACACATAACACATATCACCATTTTCTTCAAATCCAGACTGAAGATGTTAAGTAATCATAAACAAGTGAATTTGAAGACATTAATGTATCTGAAGTTTAATTATTAAAAAGAAATACAGAAATACTTTCGAATTCTAAGAAATTACTCCTATGCATGTGAAAATAATTTCATGTTTGGAGGAGTATCTTTTCATAGTTTGATGGACAGAAATTGAGTATTTCCCACAAACTCTGTAAGAACAACTCCTATCTGCACAATCCTCTAGTATGCTCAGCTTCCGCATCTCAGACTGACCTTCCAAACAATGAAATCTCAGCCATTTTTGACTTGACACTTACGCCGATCATCTGACTTGTTGCTAAATATGTACATTTAAATATTGCTAAACAAGTTTCTTTTCCATTATTCCTAAAGTCATAGGAAAAGGACATAGTTTGAGTAATTTCCTGCCTGAATTATCATAATCTCCTTTCTGTTCTTTTCTCTCCCCCGCTCCTTTTAGTCTTTAACATTCTATCCATCCTTTTCATCAATTTAGTTAAACATGACAATTCCTTGCCACATTCCTATAGTGCTTTCCCCAGCATAAGTTTCTGGGACAATAATTCTCAATTTCTAGAAAGTTTGAACTACTTCTAAAGTCTTTAATTCTCCTTTCTTCTCTTTGAACATTATTTTAATTTGTTTTGGATAATTCTAATGCAACATCCTTAGAGGAGTCTGGTTTCATATTTGCTGGTTCCACCACCCCTTGCACCTGTTTTATAGTTTTTGACCATGAACTTGTATTTGGATGATTTCAATTGAGAGTATTCTAAAAGGCTTAGGTTAAGGGTGAATCATTCCAGGGAGGATCTATATTTTTGCCAGGTACTCTGGCACATTACCAACCTGGGTCAACTTTAATTTCTTGACTTCTAGGTTTTTTAGACCATGTAGATATGTAAATTGAACCCTGAATCTGAGTGATGGCAGACCCCATAATTTCAGGTTCTAAAGGGGAAGCTTCACTGCCCTACCTGGACCTGGGTGAAAATGAACAAATTTCTTTGTGACCCCTCTTTGCCAGAAAGGAGATATTTTTCCTAGCCCATCTTTCACTGAGTGTGGATTTTTGGGGATCCTGGCTGAATGTGGGGGAGGATGGTTCTCCAAGGCCATGAGTTATACAACTGCAAGTAGAAATCTTCACATTTTATTTTTTATGAAAATGGTCATCCCCTGAAACACATTTATGCAAACTACCATGCGAATGGTGCCTCTCAGATTTGTACACCTGAGAAGTTAAAGCGGTATGAATGGTACCTCTCTACCTTGGGTGGGGGTCAAGAGGAGCCTCTCACCTGTCTCTAATTGTGCTTCAAATGCCCCCCCTCCAAAAAAAAATCACTGCTAATTTACTACTCTGGTTTCTGCTCTCTCTTTGACCTTTTAGCTCTGGGGATTTTCCTTTCTGTTCTACATGCCTGCGATGCATTTAAAAGGCTAATATAATTTATCCAACATTTAGATGTTCTGGCAAAAGGAATTTTCAAAACACTGTGTCCACCTCATTGCTAGAAGCATAACTTCTTCCCCCTTTAGACATTTTGGTATGCCCACACCCTTCCTATTCTTTACAATGTAGCTCAAACACCATCTTCCGCACATACCCCTCCCTAATTTCTTTATCTGGAAATAAGCACTCTGCAGTAGGACAGATAAGGAGAGTGTCTTTAAGTGGATAAAATCCGGGGCGCCTGGGTGGCTTAGTCGGTTAAGCGTCCGACTTTCCGACTTTCGCTTAGGTCATGATCTCGCGGTTCGTGGGTTCGAGCCCCGCGTTGGGCTCTGTGCTGACTGCCAGCTCAGAGCCTGGAGCCTGTTTCAGTCTGTGACTCCCTCTCTCTCTGACCCTCCCCTGCTCACGCTGTTTCTCTCTCCTAGAAATAAATAAAACATTAAAAAAAAAAAAGTGGATAAAATCCTTGATTAGACACTCTACTACCTAAGCAGAGCAGAGGGTCTTGCCCATGGTAATTACTCACTCACTATTTTATTTTGTTTGTTTATTTATGAAAAAGAGAGAGAGAGAGGAGAGGAGAGGAGAGAAAGAGAGAGAGAGAGAGAGAGAGAGAGAGAGAGAGAGAGAATCCCAAGCAGGCTCTGCGCTATCAGTGTGCAGAGTCCAAGGCAGGGCTCGATCTAACGAACCATGAGATCATGACCTGAGCCGAAATCAAGAGTCTAATGCTCAACTGACTGAGCTACGCAGGTACCCCTCACTAAATGTTTTCTGCAGGAACAAACAGCCAGATCCAAAATCATCTTAAACCCCAAAAAGATTCATGACTTTTCTACTTCAGTAAACAGTATTACCATTTTTTTTCTAGGTTATCCAGATTCTAAGACTGCAGAGTAATCCTAAATTCCAATACAGGAGCCTCTAGCCAAATGTGGCTATTTAAATTAAAGTTACAACTGACTAAAATAAAACTTAAAAAGTCAGTCTTTCAGCCATAATAGCCACATTTCAAGTACTCAAAAGCCACATGGGTCTAGTGGCTACCTTAACGGATGGTGAACATACAGAACATTTTCCATTATCAGGGAAAAGTTCTATTGGACTATGCTACACAACTAGCACAGGGGTTGCACTGACACAGCACAAGAAACTAACACATCATTGGTACATCATAAGGGCTGGCTTTTACAATGAACTGTTGAACCATAAAATTATGCCCACTTCATAGAGGTTGATTCAAGAACTAAGTGAATTAATATATGTACAATACTGTCATAGATGATCAATAAATGGCTGTTCCTCTTGTGGAATGCAAAAGATGAGTTACCTGTTTTACAAATTCACAGGATATGTCTTCAGATCTGCACACAACTCTGCACCTTTGTAAATCCTGAACTCTACATACAAAGAAAGTAAAAGGATATTTCAAACCACATTCTTTTAAACATGTACAATTTCAAGTCGATATGTCAATATTTGTTCATGGGTAGAACACTATGTTATAGAATTATTAATAACTTATTTTTCTTTAAAGAATTGATACTTATGTGTTTAATTTTTTATTTTAAATCTAGTATAGTTAGCATACAGTGTTATATTAGTTTCAGGTGTACAATACAGTGATTCAACCATCCTATACATTACTCAGTGCTCATCAAGATAAGTGTCTAGTGTGTTAGAATGATGTACCATCTGAAATTAAGTAATATTTTAAATCTAGGATGTCAATTTTCCTATCCTTTCTCCCATTAGACAACTTTCACTGACCTCAAAAAAGATAAAATGAAAGGAGAAACATGGAGTTTCCTCCTAAAGAGGAAAGACAATGAGGAAAGAATGATAGTTTATTAGTAAGCAAAATAAAACATTAACTAATCTGTGTGATGCAATGGAAAAAACACCCTTGTGAGAGCAGTTGTGACATTTACCCAAGTGTAAATCCTAGCTTTATCAAGTCCCACTGTGTGATTTAGGAAAGTTACTAAACTCTTATGAGTTACAGTATTCTGATTTGGAAAGTAGCTACCCCAAAGCGTTATTCCTTAGTGCAGAACAGAGTAAGCACAGAGTTTAACAACGGGAGCTGATTTATCAGTTCTGCACAGCTAGCCACAGAGATGGGGAACAACGCTCAATTCTTTGCATGTGTGAATCATCTTGGTTTGTATCTCCTTAGATTTTGAGGGTTCTCATTGTTTGCACTGATAGTTTAGAGGAGAAGCAGGGCTTGAAACGATTTGCCAATTTGCTAATGACAACTGAAAAATTTAAGTGTGTTGACTTGGTAAGGAAGACTACTATTGCCCATGTATTTCCACACTGGAAAGCTGAAAGTATGGCTGGCTAACTGCCAAGCAAATAAATTTAAAATTTCAATGGTTAATGATTTAAGGCATTTGAAAATATGCAGGAATAATCTTCATATAGTAGTAAGGGTGCTTAACAAAATGTTCTTGTGTCTCTGACCTACCTGCTCTACATTCTTTGAAGATCCATGAATCAGAACTGCAGTTATGATTCTTACATTTCAGAAATGCTTGAATATCACTGGTAATAAGATGAATTCCTTATACGGTCTCCTCTTAAGTGATGACTGCTACGAAACAGTAAGAAAGTAAATTCGGGATGTTCCAATTGAAGAGAGAAAAAAAAATTCTGTGGAACCATCAAGCCCAAAGCAAAGCATAATAGAAAACAGTTATTTTTCTAAAGTCTCACTTGGCCTTCTAGCAAATGTGATATTCTTGTAATTGTTAAATCCTAAAGAGCCTAGAAGGTTAAGTAACTTTGTTATTATACGTTGGGTCAAATGTTACTGGGAGACAAATGGGGGAGAATCTGATGATGCCACAAGAATTACAGAACGGCACCTGGGTACTGATTTATATAAATTTGGGACAACTGGAAAAATTATTTCCCTGGTGTGCTCTCTGTTTTTCAACTGTATCCTAATGCAAAGAAAGCACGGTGTGAGGATACAAAGGATCAGCCATTTACCTTTCCGTATCAGGCTCCCACAGCCCTTACTCGGCCCCGCGACCAAACTGCGCGTGGTGGACAAGCTTCGGGTAAACACAAGGTCAACACCCATCTCACTTTCAAACCTGCCACCAAGCACTCTACCAAGAAACCGGAACGCCTACTGAAAAGCAGTTTTTTTTGTGGGACTGGGGCAAAGGTTCTCAGCAGCCGCTTCAAACAAAACAAGGCACTATTTACACCGTTGCCTTCTTCTGAGATGCAAAGCCCTAGGACGCCTACCTGGGGCCAGGAAAAAAGCGGGAGGCTGAGCCCGGCCCGGCTCGCGGAAAGGGGGCCAGGAGGGAGAGAAGAGGGTGGGGACAGCCCAAGGTTGGGGACGCAAAGGTGAAGCGCAGAGACCTGAACCCAGTGCAACCACCCGTCCAGGTCCCCCGAGTCCCCAGGACCCCGCCCGCGCTCCAGTCACCACCAGGTCCCTTCTCCCGCGCTTCGCACAGCATCGGGCCAGCCGGCACGCGACTGGTGTGCGGGCCACCGGGGGTGGTGGGGGGCTCGGGACGGCTTCCACTTCCCCGACCTGCCGTTCCCATCCTATGACACACACTCCGACAGCGGTCTGGGGCCGGCCCTCATCCCCTTTTCGGCTTACTTTGATTGCAGGAGCCCGCCAGGGTTAGCCGCCGCGTCGGGAGCCGTCCGGCTGGACGAAGACAGGGCGGGCCTCCGGGGCGCGCTCCCGAGCAGCCAGGCCAGGCCTGGGGCGCGCTTTACCGCCCCGAGGAGCGCGCCCGCGCCGCCGCTCGTTCAGAGCCGGTTTTCCTTTACGGCAATCGCAAAAGTGTCGCGAACGGGCTGCCGCCGATCAGAGTCACTCAGTCGGCTGGAGTCGGAGGTCTTATTTGTAGCCGTCTGCGTTCGGGGGTCGGGGTAAGGCTGGTGGGCTTGGCCTGGGGAAGTTGGTCGGGTGTGACGGACGTGTTGGGGGGCACGACTCTCGAGAGGGGTGGAGAGGGAGCTGCATGCTCTGGGGTGGGGCAGCGGAATATAGGTGTGTATGGACTCGCGCGAGGCGAACGCAGTTCTTCCCCGCGCCGGCTGCCCTCGCTCGCGCGCGGGGTTGTGGGGAAGACGAGGGGCGCCCGCTCCTCTGGCCGCAGGTGGAGAGATGGGGGTGACGAAGTGCCAGCGCGGGCGCCCGGGGGCCGCTGAGTGGGAGCCGGGATGCGGAGAACCTCGGCGGGCCGGGGCTGGGTGGGCCGAGGTGTAGAGGCGCTGCCCGAGTGGAACCGACCTTGCCTCGGCAGGTCCACACCTTCCTGCCCAGGTGCTGCCAACTCCACCAGCCGTGTTGCATCCGGTGCCGGGGTGGCCTTCTCTTTGGAATGCGGGCTGGGCCACGCTTCTTCATCAGCAACTTTTCTAGAAATTTCAGCGTAGAGCGACAAGCTCTGAGATCGCCAGCTAGGGTTTATTTCTGCAGCATTTTTGGAAGGAGAAAGGACGGGAGGGTTGCTAGTGTTTGCCGGTGTTCCCAGGATGACTGGGGTGAATGGGATCTTTACAGTCAACCGCGTTAACCTGTTTTCTCCAATTCGGTGCTTGGCATTTTTGTGTCATTTGGCCATTTTGCATCCTCCGTATTGAATATATACTTTTGCTTGAAGTCTCCTAGTTCATTAATGGATCCATATTATAATAGGTGAATTCATAGTTATCTTTCCGCAAATATTAGTGTCTTGTCTCGTATGTGGACAGAGAATAAAGATTCCGTTTCGACTCTCGAACTAGCAGGAATGTGTTCAATGCTTGTATTTAATTGACTCACAACATAAGGTAGACTGTGGTAAGGACATTTAGCATTACTACTTTAGAACCATTGGCGTTCATATAAAGTTCCAGCTATTGAAGTTCTAAAGGCATTTAATTTGCTGCTCATTTGTAATTTGCTAGGACAAACCAGTGAAAGCCCCTTGTACAGCTTGTCCCTACAGTGCTTCCATTTGAGAAGTTCGATAAATCTGCCTCTTGTATTCACCTGTTCCAACGGAGGCACCTTGATTTCTTCTCCAGTTGATAGATTATTACTGAGTATTTACAACTGTGGTTCCATAAATTTATTCTCTCTCCCACACCCAGTCTCTCTTGAAATTTACGTTGTCAACACTAATTTGTCTGAGATGGATAACTAAACTTTGTTATACCCCAAATTACATTTTATTGCATAGTCAGTTTTTCTAGGCAGCAGCAGGCGTGTTCTTTAAGCAGGCTAAAAGTGTTTGGTGATGTTCTTTTGAGGGTCATGCTGTGCTGTCCTTTTTAATGGAATATGAAACTAATATATAAAATGCCAGACTTTTGCTTTTCTTCTTTTTTTCTGGAGGAGGTCATTTCCTTTTTTTTAGGAATGCAAGATTTCACTTCATCACTTCAGCAAAACAGTGGATCTAAATTGTGTTACACAGCACTGTTTTTGCTTCCAAGTCTGCTGAAAAGGCTTTTGTTTTTGCTAAGTTGTTCTATGTTATCACTTGTTAAATAATGCTGAATGTAATCCTGTGATCCTATTAGGTTTTTTTTTTTTTTTTTTTTTTTACTTTTTATGATTTGCTCTGCTGCCCAAATAGTGTTGGCCATTCCTGCGTTCCGTTAGTAGTGCCATAAAGTTCAGAAAGAGCTGTGTGGTCACCAATTCCTGTGGAAGGACTATAAACATACTGTCGAGTCAGTGCAGCTCAAAACTTGGCACCCTGAGATGTGGGGGGAGGGGAATTCTGGACTTTCACATTACAGGTTGGGTATTGTATAAGCTTACCTTATGCTCTGTGGAGCAATTGGAGATTCCTTTTTTAGTGGGATGCTTGTCAGATGTTCCCCAAAGCTGAACACAGGAACAATGTAGGCAGCATGCCATTATTCTCAGCTGCCATAAGCACAGATGTTCTATGCCATAGATGTACGTCCACAAAATGTGTGTAATTTTAGTAAAGGTAGTCATTAAACATCTCTGCTTATATTTTTGTATCTTCATTGGGCTTTTCATATAAATATTCATGTCTGCACAGAGAAAATCTTTTGTTAGACCATATGTGCCCCCTCCTCGGGACTCCCACAACAGTTTGTTCACAGCACATTAGAACTTAGCTGTTTATAAGACACACACAGGGGCGCCTGGGTGGCTTAGTCGGTTAAGCATCCGACTTTCGCTTAGGTCATGATCTCGCGGTTTGGGGGTTCGAGCCCCGCGTCGGGCTCTGTGCTGACTGCCAGCTCAGAGCCTGGAGCCTGTTTCAGTCTGTGACTCCCTCTCTCTCTGACCTTCCCCTGCTCACGCTGTCTCTCTCTCTCTCTCCTAGAAATAAATAAAACATTAAAAAAAAATAAAAAAAAATATAAGACACACAAACACACACACTGTCCTGAGCTTTTTGGGAGAATGGATGGCACACTTCAGTCCTTCTGCTTACTCAGGGTCTAGAACAACTAGCTGCTCATCAAACACCACATAAATCATTTTTGTTCCTTGTTCCACAAGTAAGTCCTAATTACCCACTTAGTGTTAGGTATGGTATGAGATTCTTGGAAAAGAATGTTAAGACAGGTGTGGTCTCTGCATTCATGGAGCTTATAGACCAGTGTGAGGAAAAGACCAAAACAACATGACAAACAGAAAAGTTCAGAATGTGATAAGTGCTCTGAAAGGACTATTTCACTAGGGCCAGGTTGTAACAGAGAAGGGGCATTTGCTGATTACAAGTAGAAAGGTTACAATAGCTGTAGGCCTGTGATCAATATTTATACTAAACTGGATTCCAGACGGAAAGGTTTTTCAGTTTAAAATATTAACTTTTACTATTATGATTTATGAATCATACTCCGTCAATAAATAGGCTGTGCTACAGAATTACAGATTTCTTTATAAGCTCATTGATGGCTTTTCAAAACATCAGAATAAAATCTCAGTTCCTTACCATGGTCTATAAACCTCTGCATTGTCTGGCTGTTCAGATTTTATCTTATGTCACTCTTCCATCTGACTTACTGCTGTCCAGCCACAGTGATCTCAGAGGTACCTGAACATGACAAGCCCTTTCTTGCCTCAGGGCCCGTTCCCTTGGCCAGTTCTTCCTCCTGCTTTTGGAATGACTAGCTCCTTTGCCTCCTCTGAATTTGATATAAATGCTGCCTCTTCTTAGATTTCAATTCCCTTATCCAAAATGTGCACCCCTAGCTATTTTCTGGCTCCACACTTTGTTTTTCTCATAGCACTCATCACAGTATGTAATGCTGTTTGCCCATTTACCTGTTTTTAGTTATTTTCCATTTGGACATGGGAACCGGGACTCCCGTGTCTGTCCTGTTTACTGCACTCAATATTGGCTGAATGCATTTGGAACTTGGAATTAATTTTCTCATAAAAACTTACGACTGGTGGTTTGTAGGCTAGCCAGCAGGAGTTTTAAACTCCTTACGTTAATTGTTTTAGTTCCTTATAGTGTGGCAAGAAAAGGACATTTTCTTTTTACCCTTTTGGGCATAGGCCTGACTCTATGAAATTTCAAGTGGCTAGAATAATTTTGTACTATTAGTTTCTCCTTTTCATACCCCACATCCTATTTCCTTTTCTCTCCATAAAGTTCAATCTTCCTATTATAGTCACCTACTCTGTTGCACTCCCAGCTTGTTTTTCATCAGCTGAAATGCGAAAGCTCCTGTTTTTTTTTTTTTTTTTTCTTGAGATGGTTTGAATTGCAATAGTCTCTAGGTCCCAGATGTTATAGGATGAAGGGAGAGTAGAGATGGGCTTGTGGCAGCTATAACAACCTCTGTGTCTGTCTGCATGTAGTGAAAGGAAAGTAGATCTATAGGTCAGGGACTACAAGTATCCGAATTTATATTTGCAATCTTGTTGCTAATAGCTCCACAGAGATAATGTTGCCAAATTGCAGTATTTAAAAACTCATTGGCTTTTTTTCTTGTACGAATTATGTAAAGGCTAGATCTAGAAAGGTTTGTCAAAATGTAGATTTTTAAAAGAGAAATAAAAGGTTAAAAAAATGTAGGTCAAAGGGGGGAAACACTCAGAAAGAAGGTATCAGTTTATCATATAATACTGCCAAATGCTCAAACTTAAAACCATTAGGATCAGTTGCTTGTAGTTATTTAGTGCCAAAAGCAGGCTAGCACCCTCAGTATGTTACCTGTTTTTTTTTTTTTTTATAATGGGAAAATGGAACACCACAATAATAAAATGTAAATTGAGTTGTCTAAGCTTTTTATTCTCATTTTAAGTTGAATTCTATGAGAGATGATTTATTATAGCTCACCAAATGAGAAGATGAATTATTTAATTTGTCTACAGAAAATATGACTACTGTAAGGCTAAGTATTTGGTGGTCTGTCACTTTCTCAAAAATATACTTGTAACCAGTTGTTTGACATTAATCAATTGATTTGTGACATGGTTGGGTGTATGGAAGAATTCTTTGAAGTAATAAGATATTAGCTTTAATTTGCCTTGGTTTAAACCATTATTCCAGCATTTTTACTTCAGAACACTTTAGTTAAATTGTGGCACTGGTGATCCTTTTTAAGATTTTTGAAAATTTATTTAAGGTAGTTGATGATTACAGTAACTTTTCTGAACCAATTACTGAGATACATGATTGAGATTTTGGATGTCACTGAAGATCATTAGTGACATTGAAACTTTGGAATTTGATATGTATGGGAACAGAGGGAAGAAGTCTTAGGCATGTTTGATACTGGGTCCATTGTTGAGATGTGCTAGTCCCTGTAATCACATTCTTT